GGGGCGATATGCTGACTCTGTAAACCGCTTAGAGAGGGCTGAAAGCCCTATGAAGCGGTATATAAGTCTAACTGCTATTGCTATTGCTATTGTAAGGGATTTTGGTAGATGAAATTGACCACATCTGGACAGTGCCAGATTAGGGGAGATTCACTGCAGTCCCACAGAATAGTGGGTGCATAATCGCTCTCCTAGAACAATGTAGAATTCTCCCCCTCTTTTCCATCTGGAAAGGCACTAGATTCTACACTGCTCTGAAAGGCAGAAAAAAGACAATCTGAGCTAAGGAGATAACTGATGCAAAAAGAAATAGAATAAAATTTATTTAATTCAAGTTAGAAAAGGGAACCAAATTACCAGCATAATTCTTGAGAGCTGTCTGGGTAAGATATATTTTAAATAATATTGCTATTATTAATTGCATAGTAATGATTTCTAACATTGTGAATAGAAGTGTGCCCCCTCCTGTTTACAGAATAATCTCAGTTTTGAATACTTAATCTAAAGGCAACAGCACTAAAAACACTGTTTTTTTTTTCCTTATGTACACTTATGAATTTGTCTCATTTAAAATAATAGATCTTTTGCTTTTTAATCAAACATCTATAGGATTGCACTGTTCATTTTTACAGTCTTTTAGATATGAGACTTGATACTCCAGAACTTTGCCCTCTCGCCAGCTACGTTTTGACAATTATTTCCCCCTTCCCCACACTTTCTGACTTGGTTCCTCAAATGTCAAAACCATAGTTACTTACTGTTGATCCCGACATCTCCATAAGGCAGAGGCAGCAGTGGTGAGTGCAAGGGATGCTGGGTGTATCTCAGGATGGGATTCCTTCGGTAGATTTGTTCTACCACTTCAGAATTAGCATTATTTTCCTGAAGTAAACAGAGGGGCGCAGGGAGAGAGAAGGTGAGTGACAGAGATGTTTCCAGTCGCTTTGCCTTTTTTCCTCCCAATATACAGGGTGTACGTACCAAAAACCAGGCAATAAGTTTTATTTTTTTCCAAAGAAAATATTACTGTTAATGTTGAAAGGTCATTACTTTTAATTATTTAATTATTACAGTAGTTGAACCAGCAATCTTTTACGTGTGACATGTATGATGTACTAATGATCTAAGCAGCTGATGCAACATAATAGGCAGCCTTTATATTATGCTGTACATATATGTGTCAAACACACCATGAAGGATCTACTACTGTAATTAAAGTCTGTGCTGAAAAATGCATATGCAGCTGTATAATATTATCAAATGTCCCTGATTGAGTGATGGGGATAGAATAAAGAGGGTTTCACACATTAAAAAGTGCATTTGTGATTTAAAAAAAAGAAAGGCTGGTCAGGACTCTGGAGTTATGTTCATATCCAGAAGGAGATTAAACTATGGCTTCTGTGTACAGCTCAATTAAGATTTTGTGGAACTCACCCTAATGTCACAAATAAGTTGCTGTGTGGGAGTTTCGATGGGAACTTTGCTGTCAATGACTCCTTGGATGGCAGAGGCCCAGCGCATGGCTTCATTCAACAACTTCGTGTAGAGGTGGTATGAATGCTTTCTGCCATGCACAGTGATGTTCCAGTAACCTGCTGGCACAAACACAACCAAGATGAGTGTGTCACTATTTCAGACCAGTAAATAACAAGCAAGGCAATGGAGAAGACAGGAAGAGGTGCTACTCAGCCAAGACATGGAGGCAATTTGTTGTGTTCAACTCCAGTGTGATGTAATGTTAACTGTGCAGCCCAAAGGCTCTGAAAGCTATTGGTTCTGCTACCAAAATGCTAGTTAAAATCTCTTTGATGAGGACTGCTCCATCCTTCATTGAATATGGAAACCTATTTTGCTCCAAGAAACCAATGAATGAAGTATTAAGATCTGCCAGTTGTACAATTTTGGTTCAAGAAACATCTGGGCTTCTCAAGTATGAATGCAGAGCTAAGATCTAATTATTTTTTCTGGATTTTTTTTTCTAGCCAAGCATGGAAGGTAATCAAGTTGTTAGAGGGGAAGCGGAGCAAATCGTTTCTCCTAGGAACCTTAATTTCCTCTGGATGGGAAGAGACTTCATTCTACTAATCCAGCATTCAAGGTAAGTGTAGAAGTCGGTTCTGTTTTTCTAAATGTGAATGAATATATATAAAAAAGACCAACTGTGTGCCTGAACCTAGTCAAATAATGATATGATATGTGAGAATATGGATGTGTAAGAACTCACCCACCCACTGTTCTGATATAACCCGTTAATTTAGCTAGCGCTACATGTCTCCCAGGTTTCATTTTCCTAGTCTGATATTATTGGCATGTACCTCTTAGCTGAGCTGAAGTCGTCCTCATGGTTATCAGTATATATAAGTCTTTGACTTCCAAGAGTTTGTTTAGTGATCATTCAAATTTGTAATGGCACTGAAAAAAGTGCCTTATGATCATTTTTCAGTTTCAACCTTTGCAGTATCCCCATTATCCTGTGATCAAAATTCAACTGCTTGGCAACTGGTACATATTTATGACGGCTGTGATCCCCTTTTGCAACCTTCTGAAAGCAAAGTCAATGGGAAAGCTGGATTCACTTTACAACCGGGTTACTAATTTGTTAACTGCAGTGATATTAACAATTGAGGCAAGAAAGGTTGTAAAATGGGGCAAAACTGACTTAACAACAGAAATGTTGGGCTCAATTGTGGTCGCAGGTTGAGGACTACCTGCATTTAACAAACTGATTTAGTCTATTTCTAGAGTCTGGGCATATCTACAACATAATTATACTTTTTCTACAATAACTGTATCCAGAGTAAAAGGTATTTTTGGGTGATGTTATGGCTAAAGGCTACATTGGACTCATTGTTGCTTTTATGGAATTCCACGTTCACATCAAGCTGCTTTACAAAGTAGATGCTTTTAAGTTTTAATTTTGCCATGTTTCTTTGTATCATAAATATCTGTGATATATGTTGGTTATATGGGCACCTTCTGACATTCTGCCATTCAAGGATTTTTTTTAGTATCATTTTTTCATTTTTGTTTTTCATAGATTCATGTGCACTTAATGATTTACAACTATTTCCGAAGATGAGTTTAATTTCATATATTTAATTGATCAGTTAATCGACCTTAAATATTATAACAATTGTAAATTTTCTATTTACTAATATTATTTTTCACACACTATGTTCTTTCTCACCTTTTTTCCTTTTCATGTAGCCATTTATTTTATTTAAAAATTTTAAAATAAATGAAATAAAATTTTGCCTTTTCTGCTTTACATGCAACATAAAAGCATTTTCCCACAACGTGTTGACTATGCCCATGTCCAATGACAAATGCAGACACATTTCCACCTATTTATAATTGTACATAATGAATGCAATAAAACCCTCCAACTTCCTTATAGATAGCTCTTACCAGTTTCTTTGAAGATTCTTTCATTGGGCTGGATCACTGAGCAGAGGCTATTGAGAACAAGTGTCCCGAGCTTGGTGGCGGTGCGTTCAGAAGACTTGTAGTAGTCAAGGGCAGTGCTGGTCAGTACAAACCAGCGTTTCTTCAGCTTCAGGGACAATATCTTGTTGTTGCTCTGGACCTCCTTATGTAGCCACCCTGACAGGAAATACAAGATCCATGAACTCAACAAAACTTGTGCTCCTTTAGTACATCTATGCTTCTGGCTGGAGAGGGGGCTGTATTGAAGCATCGGATCTTCCTTTTTTTAATTTCTAGCTTCACCTTCTGACTTTCTACATAAAGTAATTGCACTAAGATTGTACTATATGATGCTGCAGGTGGCTTCCAACAATTTGGGGTGTGGTGTCTTCTAAAAATTGCCACCAAGTAATCATTCTTAATTTGACAAAAGAGGAAAATTATTAATCCACGAGGAATAATTATATTTCATATATTTTAAGTACATGAATCGACTGTTGACTTACCTGAACGGTCCTTCTATGTGCACTGCAAGGGGAATCAAAGCATGGATTAACTTTGTCCATTAGCCCAAAGACTGAGTTTTGCAAATTGATGGACTGGTTCAGTTTTGCACGAAGGTTCAGACGGTTTGAGAGATGCAAAAGAATTCTAGAAGTCAAGGGTAAGGCAGGATGTAATCGGAGAAAGATAAGTCAAAGCCCAGAACAACCGAAGCCGAGGGCGGGTTTGAATTCCCCTTGCAGTGCACATAGAAGGACCGTTCAGGTAAGTCAATGGTCGTTCTCCTGTGAGCTGCTTGGGG